GAGAGGGAGGGAAATTCAACCTGAATAAACAAATTCGTATTGACTCAAATTCTGGAGGGAAAAAAACAGGGTAGAAGAGCCCTCAAAGAGGGCTAAGAGTACTGCTAGGTTGTGAGACAGAAAATTGTACATACTTGCTACAAGAGGCTGTATGAGTGACCTCAGGGAACAGATACAGAGGAACTGATGTTTTTCTTTGAAAACATGAGGGCTAGGTTGTGGGACAGGGGGTGAAAAAGACCATGCAGATTCAACTGGAAAAGGAGAGAAACAAATGACAGGTGGTTGTGAGAAGGGAGGAAGTGAAAGAAGACAGAAAGACAACATGAAATTCCAACAGATTGGATAATAATCTAAGATTGGAGGATACATTCCAACACATAAATGAAAGGGGGTCGGAAAAACGACTCCCTAAAATTTGCCAACGACTCCCATTTTGGTCGAGGGGTCGTCGGACGGGAGTCGTCTTTCTAATTCCCCCTGGGGGATTGCGAGTCAACTTCCCAATTGTTTTTTATTAAAATTTATTTTTTTGGGTGGGAGTCGGCGCCCAAAACCCTCCTTGGCAAGTGGGAGGTTTGGGAGTTGCCTCCCTCCCACTGGCCAGGGGGATTCCCTCCTGTCATTGAGACTGTACAGTCTCAATGACCGGAAAGAATCCCTTCCGGTCATCAAGACCATACAATCTTGATGGCCGGAAGGAACCCCTTCCAGCCATCGAGACCAATCTCCATGACCAGAAGTTCCGGCCGTTGTGGAACTCCTATCGTGCCAGACAGTAGGCAGTTGGTTGAAGGGAAATTGCTTTGAGGGCTGCCTTTCAAGTGGGGTCCGGATGAGTGAGCTGTGATCTGAACAAAAAAAGTGTTGGGGTTGGCTGTGTTTTCTGAGAGGAGACAACAGAAGTGGAGTTCTGTGGCGGTTGTTGAGCTTGAGGATTGGTGTGTATGAGGATCAGATGGATTAATAATGAAAAGATCAATAAGAAATGATGGGTCTATCTTGGATCAGATCAGAGTGCCATGCTTCCCCATCATCTCAGTTCAAACTGAACTTTGACTCTGGGGAGTGACATGTCACAGACATGTCATCACATCCCTAACTACAACACAACTCAACCAAAAAAGAAAAACAAGACCACACTACGCAACACTACACAACACTACACAACACTACACAACACTACACAACCCACACAACACAACACAGAACAAAACAAAAAAAAAATCAAGAGTGAAATAAACCAACATCCTGAGATGTCTTAGGACCAAGAAAATTAAAAAAGACTGTCTGCTGAGTAGGTGATTTGAAAAAGATAATAAAGAATGATAAAATGATAAAATAAAAATAAAATCAAGATGAATGAAAAATAATATAAAGAGTAAATAATAAGAGGAAATGGAATAAAATAATAAAATGAGGAAACCATTGGACTGAGTGGGGATTTGAGGTGATATTTTTGAACTCTTGAGTCTTGAGGATATTGATAATTTGAAAATTGAAAATTGAAAATTGACCTTGAGGGGGCCTGTACCGTTTAGAACACCACACCGTTGAGATTGTATGTCTAGGCTGTACACCTCATCGATCGGTAAGGATATCCTTCCGGCCGATGAGATA